CAGGTTTTCCGGGTCCGGATCCATCCTATCCGGGTTTGGACCCACCCTCATCTCTACTAGGACGTAAAACAGAAAAACAGAAAGTTTCGTTCTCCATTTGTAAAAACAAACTTTTCGGGTCTCTATAAAAAAAAGGAAAAAGTCCTGGTTTGTTCCGTGACATCCAAAACCCTAGCAACAAACGATTTCAAAATCCAGTGAAATTAAAGATTTGGAGTTGAGTTGATTGAAGGCGATGTCGTACGACGACGTGGAGATCGAAGACATGGAATGGAACGAGGAGCTTAAGGCATTCACGTATCCGTGTCCTTGTGGAGACTTGTTTCAGATCACAAAAGAGGACTTGAAGATCGGTGAAGAAATCGCTCGGTGCCCTAGTTGCTCTCTTTACATCACTGTCATATACAACATGGAAGACTTCACCAATCAGAAATCTAAAACGAATATCGAACCGGCGAAGCAACAACCTGTAGCTGTCGCTTGAAGAAAATTCAGGTCATAAATTTTGTTTTCCCCCATCATATCATATCAATTTGGAATTTTGATCGAGTATTGTTTGTATGTTAAGCTTGGGTTACAATCATTATTTATTGGTGTTTTGTTTGTAATTTATTATGATTTTGATCGAGTATTGTTTGTAATTCTTAGTTAGTTATATAGACAACTCAACTGCTGATGGCAACAAGTTTTGATGAAGCTGAGTACATCAATCAGAGCCAGATATGATTTTCTGTTTGTGTATTGTTGTAATTCGAGAATGTTGATTTTTTGAAGCCAATAGATTCTATAGACATGCATTAAACACAATCCAATAATATGATTACCATCAATTGGATTGTCAGGTGTTCATAGTTGCTTAATTAATTTTCTTTGTGTATGAGAGAATATTTGTATACAATATGAGACTGATTATATGATAAATTAATGTCGAGATGCTAAAAGTATGCTAGAATGAATGAATGGTTTGTATACAAAATGCTAAAAACCCATATACAAACCATTCAGTCATTCTAGCATATGTACACACATAGCAACTTGGTTTTGTTTTGTTTTGTTTTGTTTTGTTTTTTTTTTTTTTTTTTCACAATATTTCTAGTTTTATATCAAAGGTTATTTGGTTTTTCAAAAGTTATAAAAATTAGAAAACCACACAAACAGCCTACACAAACTGCATTTATATCAGAGGTTATTTGGACCAAATATTTTTCAAAAGTATATTTTTTCAGTTAATTTCAAAATGGTTAGTTACACCGTTTTTTGAACTAAATCATATTTTTGTGCCTTTGTTGTTTAGTCTACTTCATTTTTGCTAGCTTTCTTGGAATTGTTTGCTAAATTTTATTAAAAAAACAAAGTTTTTCAAAATATTAAGCTTGTTCTTCGGATTCCAAATATATGTTTGAAAAATTGGAATGTGTTTTTGTACATCTGAAAAACAAAACCCAAAATGTACTTTTTTTTGTCTAGTAAATGTATTTCTAAACATAAAGCTAAGGTCATGGTAATCATGTTTGCAAATGATGTCTCAAGAAACAGATAAGAAGCTTTTAGCCTTCTACAACAAAACTGATTATATATAAAAAATATTGATGCATTTAAGCTCAATAGCACTTGAACCATTTTGCACTTGTGACATGTTTATGTCATCTGTAAAACTTTAGATCCTTTAACACCCGAAAATTCAGCACCATAATCAAGTGAAGAGCTCAAAAAAACATTGATTTCAAAAAGAGCAATCAAGTTTGCATCTAATCATCATCTTCACCTTCATTATCATCATCATCATTATCATTATCAGACTTATAATCAGAATCACCATCACCACCATCATGATCATTGATGTTTTTCACACTGGATACATTTTTCCCATCATCAACCTCATCATCTTCTTCATCTGAAGTTTTGAGATCTTCCATGTCCTCTTGCTTTCCATTAGGGCCTCGAGTGTGAATCAGATAATGAGCCACTGACTTGAAACCAAGGCGCAACACCTGAAATTAAAATATCAGAAAATATGTGTATCGTTCTTTTTATTCCAAAAATACCCTTCATTATCTCTAAAATCTATAACAAGCCTATTTGAAGTGCTTCAAGCTCATAAACTACATAAATAACCCTATGAGTAAAAAACTTCAAAAAATACAGATTTAGGGTTTTAATTCTATGAGCAAAAGTAGTATAATAAAGGCTAACCTTCCTGTAAAGATTTCCAGTAGGTTCCCATCCTTTTACCCTGCGACATCTACTGCAATTGCATATATCTCTACACACAGGACAAACCCACTCTGGGTTCTCTTTTGTTTCTAGAACATTCTCTCCATATCTGCACAATACCCCTAATTCTAACTCATTAACAGTAAGAAAAGTGAAAAAAATAGACCAAGTATGAAGAAAATGTCACTTAACCTCATGAACAAGCAATCACCACAAAACTGCCCTTGTACAGTCTTACACTTGCAGCATTTAGTACGATGACCTGTAGTTTTCTGCCTGTGATACATCAATGATTTACAATTTTCACTAATGAGCTCATATGTGTCGCAAAGAGTGGAGATTTTTAGAGTCCATGACAAAATTTTAGAGAGCAGATTGCTTTCTGATAACAATGTGATAGCACAAATTGCAGTTTGGCAACATTTAAATAAGAAAAATGAAGGAGTTGAATGATACAAAACCTGCATTGATGGCAGCTCTTTCCTGCATAAGCATCATACATACGATTCCCCTCATCGTCATACCCATCCACACAAAGCGTCCAAGTTTCTTTGTGATCACCCAAAGCCTTTTCATGTTCTTCAGTGTAAACCTCAGGTTGTGAACCTTCCTTTATTTCAATTTTGACGTCCTTGATGACTTTTTCGTTGGAATTTGGAACACGCATCTCTGAATAATTAACAGTGGGCAAGGTCTGTATCCTATTACATTAGGAAAGTTTAAGAAGAAATAAGATCGAATTGGTTAAAGGGAAACCACGCTAATCAAAACTAAACACTGAGTTGAACAGATCTGATAGTTTTACAATGAATAAGATCGTTATTTGCAGAATAAAACTCTAATCGGAAAACAGAAACGGTATACATGTTGTAGAGATTGTTAGTTGCATAGAATCAAAATGTACCAAAAGTTTAAAACCCTTTCGCACTTCAGAAATGAAGTTATGGAGTATTTGATTTTAAGATCATATTTCCATTCGAGATCTGCGGATAGAAAAATACCTAGAAGAGCGTCTCTGAGACGTAGGCGACGGAGGCAAGCGTTTCGGAGGACGGATGGTTTTCGGTTTAGGAGGAGGTTTGAGATTACGAGAGAGCTCCAGGATGCCGAGTTTCTGCATCCTTTCAAGATTCGCTTTGATTCTTTGCTCTCGAGACAGCTCGTAATCTGCAACTCCGCCTCCATCATTCTCCTTTTCTGGTTCGATTCCGCCATTTCCATGTCTTCTCTTCTTCTTGCTCACCATTTTCGGCTGATGTCCCTCGGCTCCCGCAGTACCCCGCTTTTGGAGGACTATGTTTTCCCGCCCTGTTGAAAGGAAATCTCCAACTGGGCATTTGGGTGGGAAATAATGTCTAGGGTTTTGAGTCCACGTGTCAAGTATTATTACATTCCGTTGTTTAGTAAACTGCCAAATCAGCATTTCATCTTTTATTCGATTTTACTTTTTAACACCCATGTTTCATTCAACACAATTAAATGAAATTGCACATTTTCATCATTATATTTTTAAATATAATTATAAATTTAAAAATAAAAGATATAATAATTAAAAAAAATACAACACTTAAAAATATATTAATTAAAAATTATAAAACCTAAAAGATTTAATACCTATACATACATTAATTAAAAACAAAAACCCTATTTAATTTGAGAACGTTTTTTACATGAGAGTCGGAATTAATGTGTAATAATTTGATTAATGTAATATTTTTATCGAAACCAGTTTATATTAAATTTGTAACGGTTAGATTTCTTTTTAAGTGAGTTTTATTTTTAAATACTTCATTTGTATTATTTATTTTATAAAAAAAATAAGGCACCTAAAAATTGATTTATTAAATAATATAATACCTAAAAATATGGTTAATTTTATTTGTGATTTAATTAGAAAAATATAGAAATCAAATATAAATATATAAGAGAATATGATTGCATATATATTTTGTTTGAAATTTAATTAAAAAAAAAAGATTAATTTCATTCAACCATTCAATGATCATACAACTCTTTCATTCAACCATATCATCACCACACTCCATTCAACATCTATTCAATTCTAATCACCATCTATTTAACTCCTATTCAATTCTTATTATGGATGCCCTTATTAAATTGACTGTGCGTTTAAATTGGGAAAATTATTTTTGTATTCTAATAAGCTCCCGTAGTTATCTATGACACCATTTTGAATGCAATCCCAAGATACCGTGTAATGCATGGATATGTATTAAACGTGTAGATAAAATGATGCAAAGGGGTTTTAAAAACATTGTTAAAATATGCGTGAAACAGAACCTCACAAAGACAAGTCAATAATAACTAATAAGGTACTATAATGTGAACTTAATGGACAAAATTAGTTACAAAAAGAGTGTTAACTTCAACGGCTTAGTTACAAAAAAGTGAAAAACTAAAAGGGCGAAAACGTTAAACTCACAATTCAGTAAAGTTTAAATAACAAAAAAGTAAAAAATAAATTTGAAATAAAATTACAAATCTATTAAAAATCTCATCTCAAACAAATACAGGGGAGAATACCAACCTCTTGTTTTCCACCTGTCCGTTTATTTGCTTGGACAAAATCTGCCGACAATCAAGCAATGTCTCTGGAAATAAACTCGCATCATGTTTCAAAACTTTCACAATCTTTAAATTTAATGGTGTTGGAGAAGATTTGTTACTAAAGATAGCTTCCATAACACCCTCCATTCTTCCTTGCATGGAGTTCCTATAACCAAACCTTTGGCCAAAAACCAAAGTTTACCCAAAAACCTCCAAATATGAAACCCATATGTTGCTTTCTTTTCCTCTCCATCTTCATCTTCATCTTCTCATCTCCATCATCATCAATCCCATTAAACAACGCCTTCACCGCTGCAATCACCCGCCGCCACCTGAGCGATACTCCAAAAGAAATAGATCCGCCACCGGATGATGATCTAGCTTGTGAGATTGAGACTGATGCCCGTTTAAATTTTCCTAATCCCAGGCTTAAAAAAGCTTACTGCGTCCTTCAACAATGGAAGAAGGTAATCTATTCCGACCCGGAAAACATGTTGAGTAACTGGGAAGGTGCAGATGTTTGTTCTTATAAAGGTGTGTTTTGTGAAAAAGCTCTCGATGATCCAAATGTAGTTACAGTCGCCGGAATCGATCTTAACCATGGCGACATCGCCGGCCAACTTATATGTCTTCTTGGGCTGTTAACCGATCTTGCTATCTTCCATATAAATTCGAACAGGTTTTGTGGGACTATTCCGACGAGCTTTTCCAGGCTTACGATCTTACACGAGTTTGACATTAGCAACAACAGATTCGTGGGTCCGTTTCCTAATGTTGTTCTTGAAATGCCGAAACTGAAGTATCTTGATATTAGATTTAATGATTTCGAAGGTGGGTTACCTCCCGAACTCTTTGATAAAGATCTCGACGCCATTTTCTTGAACGATAATCGATTCACGTCAACAATCCCGGAAAACATCGGGAATTCTAACGCTTCTGTGATCGTATTTGCGGATAATGATTTCAAAGGATGCATTCCGAAGAGCATTGGTCAGATGACTAGTTTGGATGAAGTTATCTTCGCGAATAATGAGCTTTCTGGATGTGTACCTGAGGAATTAACGATGCTTGAAAACATTAAAGTGTTGGATTTGAGTAATAATAACTTTGTAGGAACACTTCCGAATGGTTTTGAAAGATTGAAGAATGTTGAAAGTATTGATATCGGACGTAATGAGTTGATCGGAAAGGTGGTGGAAAGTGTTTGTACGTTGCCGAAACTGATGAATTTTACGTTTTCTAAGAACTTCTTTGATGGGCTTGAACCGAAATGTGAAAAACCGATGAAAGCTGAGCTTGTTTTGGATGATCGAGAGAATTGTTTGCCGAAGAAACCGAATCAGAAAACTGAGCAGAAGTGTTCGCCGGTGGTGAATCATCCGATTGATTGTAAATCTTTAGGGTGTAAAAAGCCATCAAGAACAAGCGACGAGGAGTCTAAAAAGAGGAAACCACGGCGCCGGCCACCGCCACCGCCACCACCGGTTCAATCTCCTCCTCCTCCTCCACCAGTTCAATCCCCACCGCCACCTGTATTCTCTCCACCGCCTCCAGTGCCTTCTCCTCCTCCACCAACACCATCCCCGCCACCACCGTCTCCACCGCCTCCAGTCTTGTCTCCACCCCCACCACCACCGCCTGTCCCATCTCCTCCCCCACCAAGCTTCAACGACGTTGATATTCCAGAATACATTGGTTCACGTTACCCATCACCACCACCACCGGTGCACCCCGGATATTAGAGGCTAGATCACATTAGAGGTTAATTTTGTACATGTTTACCAACATTGTTAGTAAAAGAAGAACCATGTGTACACTAACTTTGGTTAAGACTTAAGATACATACTAACTAGAAGTTAAAGGAATTGATCATATGGCTACTTGTGTTTTCGTTCTTTTTGTAAGAGACAAAAAAGACATGGGTTGGCCATTGACAGATATCCACAAGAATATGAACAAGTTGTATTCACTTGTTATTTTTTTTAATTGTTTCACTAATCAGATTAAGTGTTAAATTTCTAGAGTTGTAACATTTATTTACACAATACGTAGTGGTTATTGAGGAGATGCATATGACATCTCTAATTTGGACATTGGACAAAGAACACTTTACAATTTACATCATATAGCAAAGATATAAACCTTTTCAATTATAAACTTATCTTCATTATCCCTGAGATACATCCCTCAGTTGACTTGACCTTAGACTTTAGACTGGTATGGCTTTATAATGATTAATTCATTTAATCTAAAAAGTTATATATATTAAATAACAAAATATAAAGAAAACACTTGTATTTTTGTAAAGTTTAGTATTACAATATATAAGATAAAAACTAGACAAAATTTCAAAATTGGTCCTTTATTTTGTGATTTTGTTTTTTTTGGATTGAGACTGCTAGAAACTTTTTAACTTGTAGATTTGATCGTTGGACTTAATACTCGTTTGTTTTGGCTGTTAGATCACCCCATGTGCCATTCACACAAGGGTATATTTGTCTTTTCGTTTGTCCTTTTTTCTTAGTTTACTATAACAAAAACAACAACAATCAAAATTTTAAAAAAAAAGGACCAAATTTTGTGGTTTTTTGTACATACTAATACATAGATATTTTCCACACTATTTGTAAAACAAAGTTCATAAATTCCCAAAATACCCATAGTTCAAACTTGGTTAAAATCAGGTAAAAGTCAAAATTCCCAAAAAGTCAACCGAGTCAAACCAGCTGAGTACGCCCAGCGTACTTAGTTGTACACCTATCGTACACGATGATTGACCAGGAACGAGCCTATTGACAATCTGCGCGCAGCGTAAGCCTTGTACGCCCAACGTACGTAGTTGGTTGTCAACCCAACTCATTAAGAGCTTAATCCTTAAGCCCTTAAGTCCATTTTCTAGATCCAAGTCCAAAATGATGTCTTTGACCATAAAGTTTCCAACTTTATGGTCTTGCATGGCTATTAACTGCCCAACACCAAAGATCCTAACCTCTTAATCCATTAAGTCCATGCATGAGAAGAAACTAGTGTCCAAGATTATATTTTTATAGAGGCTTCAAAACCTCTAAAAGGATAGCTTATTGGGTCAAGAACATGTTATGTTCAAGAATCACCATTTTTGGGACAAAAAGTGTCTTAAAGGAGGAAATAACTAGATCTACAAGATGGAGTGATCAATATGCAAACTTTATACCACCTGGAGGTTGCTAACAAGAAGGAAATCCCAGATCAAAGATGCTTCCAAGCTCCAAGCTCTTCTCACCACTCACTTCTTCTTCAAGAACACTTCTAAACACTCAAAAGGGCTCCAAAATACACTCGTTCACTTAGGGCTTACTTGGGGTCGTTTCTCACAGAAGGTGGTTGAAGAAGAAACGAGATATGAGTCTATAATGATGTTTAAATATGAACCAAACCCTAAAAATTAGGGTTTGCATAATCCTCACGTACGCCCTGTGTACGAGGTGTATGCCCAGCGTACTAGGGTACACCCCAGTACGCCTATCATGCACAACGTACTACACAATGGCAAAATTACCATATTGCCACTATAGTCCATTTTATAATCATTTTTCAATCCCAAGGCCCAAGATGCAATATTATTCAATCATAGGGTCAAAATTGGAAGTACCTCATCATTGGGATGTTACAACTTTATATAATACCAAAAGAGTACAATGTAATTAGTTAAGAAAATTCCATATAATACCATTGTTTTTAAAACTACAACCAAGTACAAATGACAAAAACATCAAATGACATTAAAAGAAACCAAATAAGAATTAAACTATGTACACGCTCACTCATCTTTAGCCTCACGCATAGTTTGCCATAAAAAGTTTCAGAGTCCTTTTTCACCTTCTTTGTACTTTCCATAACTCCATCATTTGAATCTTTCATCTTTAAATCATACTTGGTTTCTTCATGACGATAAAACAATACATTAGTCTGTTCATTGGTTTTAGGTTTCCTCTTTGTAGCTTCACACTGTTTAACCCCACTTTCATCGTGATAATATAAACATAACTTTTCTGCATTAAAATCTAATCTCATTTTTGTAAGTTTGTTGACTTGCTTGGTAGAATATATTGCAATCTGTTGCATATATTCTTCTGGTGTGAGATGAATAGATGAATATATGATATATATATATATATATATATATATATATATATATATATATATATATATATATATATATATGCAATCAACTCTAATAAACCCATATTATATATAAACTTGTGTCATGATTACCATACAAACATATACGAGTATATATACACGTTACATGATTAGTAAATAACACAAATTAAATTCTACATGTTTATTAGTATGAAAAATAAAGTTGGGACTTTTCAATGTCAAAGCATCAATGCCAAATTCATCTATTTTCTTGGGATTAACATATGGGAGATGTAAGTTTATAAGGTTTTATACATTGTTTCATGATTGCTACATGAGAAATTAATGTTAAGATATTGATTACAAATCAAGGTTGTTTTTATTTATCATAACAATTAAAGGGTATTAGCCTAGATTACATATATAAGTAGCCACACCTAGAAAACTTAATCACATTTCCAAAGTACAAACAAAACTTAGTTTTTTAAGACAAATATACAACAAAGAAATAGCGTCAAGCATTTGATTATAGTCGTACCTAATCGTTGAAATCAAATATGATATATGGAGAGACATACGAAAAAAGAAAAATAAATTAAGGATGTTCAAGGAGATAAACTCAAACTTTGAAGAGAAAGGTGTTATGTTAGAGAAGTTTAGTGGTTTCCCTTACTCCGTCAATAGGGTTATCGCACAACTTTACCTCTCTGAGATTCAATTTAAAGATGTGGGACTCCTTTGGCCCTCAACAATTTGTTAGAGGTCATTCATCAATGATTGAATGATTGTTTGATACCTCTTGACAGGGTTTGATAAGGGTGATACCTCAAGATTGTAGTTTTTGAAGTTCTTGTCAAGTTTAAGCTTGTGATGCATTTTTGGTTAAGATTCATCTCTTTTTTTTTTTTTTTTTTTTTTTTGTATAAAAACTTCAACCATTTGCGAATCAATAAAATCTAATCATTGTTTAAGTAACATCCATAAAAGTCATGAAAATTTAAAACTTTTTAAACATTCCAAAAGCATTCATTGTTTACAAATTGTTTTCAAAATAGTTTAACATCAGAGATGTAACACCATAAATTTTCAAACAAAATTTTCATTTTCAAAACCACAAAATTCTCAATATCACATTCCAAAAACCACCATTTTCAAAATGTCAATAACACAAATTCATAAAGTATTTGATAAAATACAGGATCCACATAACATAAACTCTATCCCGTGTGTACAATCAAGCCGGAGCCTTCCTGTGATCTTGACAAGTACTTGAAACATATAACACATAACATATTTCACGTAATAAATAGGAAAAATCAGTTGAGTCGTCCGTAAATCGTAAAAATAAGTGCACCAAAACATATACTCCCTACGTCCCAAAATAATAGTCCACAGACAAAAAACACACAGTTTAAGAAAACATTAATTACCATTAACTTTATTAAAGGAAATGACAGTCTTACCCTTCTATTGCATTTAATTCTATGGTAGTTGCATTTAATTTTATGGTAATTTAACTAATAATGAGGGGTATTATGGTAAAAGACATATTTATTTTTAGAAGTAGACAATTATTTTGGGACAAACCAAAAAGGAAACATGGACTATTAATATGGGACGGATGGAGTATATATATATATATATATATATATATATATATATATATATATATATATATATATATATATATATATATATAGAGAGAGAGAGAGAGAGAGAAAGAAAGAGAAAGTACACGTCTCCCCGATCCCGAAAATATAAATTTCGTAGAAATCTGATTCCGTATGAATTATATATGATTTTTATAAGATATAAAAGTCAGTCGCGCACAATGAATGTATGACGTAAAAAGCTACGAAGAGAATGGTTGACTTTTAGCTAATGTCACCAAAACGAAAATCGTAGTACTCCTTAAAATAGGAATTTTGAGAAAAAAGAATGCCAAAAATGGAGTTTGTATAAGAGAGTTATGATTTTAGCAAAATCATTTAATTTTATAAAAATATTGACGAAAAATAAAGTCAAAATTAGCCGACAGAGTCTAAACGAAAGTTGTAGATCTCGTCAATAGCTACGTGTGGATATAAAGAACGTTAAAAACGGAGTTCGTATGAATGAGTTATCGATTATAAATAACATATTTACGCATTAAAATAAAGTATAAATCATATATACATATACATAAATATACATATGTATATATCATTAGAAAGTTATCGTCGACGCGATCGTTATATGACTAGTGTTGAGTACTTTCGATATTAGTTTAGTACAAATATCATTAAATCTATTTAAAATAGTATTATAAATGAGTGTTTAGTCATTTAAGTAATATAAATGGTGGTTTTTGAAAATTCAATTACTATAAATAAACGCCTCTAGGGTCTCATATTTCTTGCATCATTCTCTTGATTCAAGAGTCTTTCTCTTCTTATCCCCCGAGCATTTTGGTCCCTCGTGATTCGACTTCTCTTTCTGTAGTTTTTAATATGCTAAGGTGAGCGCTGCAAGAATCTTTCTTAGAAAGAATCAACGACAAAGTTCTATTATGAATCTGTAAATAAAATTTATCAGTAATTCAAAGTCGTTATACTGATTGATCTACTTACGGGGATGATGT